TATTGGATATTAAACATATATTTGTATTTATTTATTTTATTTCAAATAATAAGGCTCAGTATATACGGTATTCCATAACTATCGACTGAAATATTTGACTTATTCGTAAAAATGAGACGAAAATTCTAATATGAAAATGTCGAAGCTATAACAGCTTTAAATTAGCGATTAAAACTGATAATCAGAGAGCTGATTTCGCGCGTTCAGACATGATGATATAACAAGTAGTAAAAGTATCATAAGGGTCGTTTTAACAACGAAAATTGTTAACACGTAAAAATATTGATATGCAATTATAATTGTATTGAGAAATTATTTCTGCTTGTATAAAATATATTTATATATTTATATATCACATACGCATGATTAATATAGAAACATCACAAAATATCAATATCAATTCTATGACGAAATATTACAACATGTCTTAGATGTCAATATATAAGTTGACATACAGTAATATTAAAATATTATAGAAAACAAATATTAAATATCTTTATATGTTTATACACCAATTATTAAGAAAAAGCAGTTGCACTTTTCGGTCTGATTTTGAAAATAATGCTTACTATTCCATCACTAGGACTGGAGACTCGATGGCCGAGCCGCCGATTGCTTTGTATGAAGGGTGTCTTGTATAAGATATACGCAGGAGATCGCGGGCAGCTACCGCACGCAGAACGCAGAGTAAAAACTAAAAAGACGCGACGCAGACGAATGACAAGACGCAACGCGAATGAAAACGCAACGCGGACGCGGATAAAACAGAGCGTACACGAAAGAAAACGCAGAGAACGAGACGCGGAACTTTGATAATGGCGCAAAACGCGGATAAAGCACAGAATAAGACGGGACGGAACGGAACAGGCATGGACGCGAAGGAGACACGCTGATCGCGGATAAACCGCTCGCAAGCGAGAGAGAATCACATGACCAACCTGCGAGCGAGAGAAAGTGACGGATCACACGCAAGAAAGAGAGGCAGTACACACGCGAGCGAGAAAGAGAGCGAGAACCAGTTGGTCACACGCGAGCGAGAGAGAAAGAATGGTAAAACGTCATCGATACGAGCAGAACTTAGAAAATAATCGTGTTAAACAAGTTCGATACAAAAGAGATTTAAAAAATAATCATGCTAAACAAGTGCTTTGATACAAAAGAAATTTAGAAAATAATCGTGCAAAAAAGCGAATACATTATTTAAAAAATTCAGCATGAACAAAATAAATAAAAAGAAGTAAATTAATAAAAGAAAGAATAAAAGAAGTAAATATGATCGGAAATAGTTATATAATAAACGATATTATGAAAAAAAGAAATTGAAATTCACTTTTGTTAAAAATAATAATCGCGATATTGTTAAAAATATTATTAAAAAGTATGAAAAGTTTTGGTCACGAAATAACATTAAGTTTCATAATCCTAAAGCTATTGAGGAGATTTATAACAAACTTGATATTAAAAATCACATTGAAAAACGGTTAGAAGCCAAAAAAATCGTACGTTGATGTATGCATATTCGAGACAGTTATGTTCGCAATATGTATAAAATATTAGTTTTATTAAAAAAGAAATCAGAAGTATGCTTGAGTCTTGCTATTAAATGTAAAACAATTAGTGATAAATTAGGTGCATTTTGTGGCAAATCGAGACATACAACTTCGTCTGAAAATTATTTTATCGATTCTATATATCGTAATATTACTTTATCATAATCTCCGGAATTCAAAGATCAAAATACAAATGTATTACCTTTAATAAAAGGACAAACAAAAAAATCATGATTATGTAACGAATTATGTAAAATTCATGATCCAATTCTAATTGATCGTTATGAAATATTCCTCCGAATGATAAGTACATGTACTTTCAAGAGAATACCGGAATTATTACAGAAAATTCATAAATGTACAATAAAAGAGAATTCAAATACAAATAAAAATTGGGTCACACACATATTTGTTACATTGATACAACTCTTTGCAAAGCGATGTTTCTTCCTGTTCAATTGTTATCACCTCATTGGTCAGATATTTTAAATGGTTAGTTTATCAAATGACAAATTTCTATGAAAAAATATTAAATTTAGAGAAAGCTTTAACATCATGCTGATTTAAATACATTAAATCAAATTATAACTTTGGCACAAGAAACAGTATATCGTATATACAGACATCAGTATATACTACTTTGAGTGATGAGAATATTATTTATAAATATAAAAACGCGTTTAAAGCTTTAACTAAGCGCTCCATGGACACTCCTCGATATGTTTGTGTATCATGTGAGAGACTTTGTTACAAAAGAAATGTAGTCGAAATTAATAAGTTTAAAGCACAAATAAATATTCCTGATATTAGGAGTCGAAAGAGTCCGTGGAACTCGTACTGTTCTGGGGAGAGCATGGTTCGCTTGGTCGAGAGTTCCGCATCGCCGGACGAGCGTGCGTCGCTTATAGAGATCGAGATAATGAGGGAGGCTTCCTCGAGTTGGATACGAGATTACTGGGAGTATCTGGCGCGTTTGAAAACGACGAAGGGGGATCTCGGCGACTATGAGAAGTATCTTGCGCGTCTGAATACTACGAAAAGGAATGACGAGAGTTGTGACAGTGGTTTAGAGGCGTTGTTCGCGTCCCTATTTGGAGACAAGGAGGCTAATCGATTCGTTCAGTACGTGACAAAGTTGAAGGGTGGACGACAGCTCGAGGCGAGATCTCCGGGCGAGAAAGGCGAAATTGCAAATTGGTTCGAATGTACGTGTACAACGTCAAGGATATAGTTAAGAAGAATGTACGTGTATAACATCAAAGATATAGTTAAGAAGAAGAAACGATGGGAGAAACTGGTGGAAATACGTAAAATTGAGAGTTCAATTTTTGAACTCCATGTCGGATCGGAAGAAGGAGTTGATGCGACAGTTGATAGATCGAATCGCCGATGATCTGGGGAAAGTGCCCGGAGTGCGCGGGGAAGCGAGAAGCGTCGAGTGCGACAGCGAGTAGGGATGTATCACTATGACGCTCGCGCGAATTATCGTCAGGGGTATTGATTGTGGCGAAGAGCGCAAATTTGCGCGAGTATATGTCTATGTAAAAGAATATGTACTAATATGTCTATGTAAAAGAGTATATATTAATATGTATACTAATTACTAATATGAATATATGTATAAGAATATGTATACGAATATGTATATATGTGTAAGAGTATGTGTACAAATATGATGCCGAGTAATAAAAACAACGAATATATGTACAAGATATGCTGAAATAAAGAAAAAAAAAGAACAATGCGAATCATCATTAATATGTATCGTTGTTGTGACGATTAACTGACCGCGAGAGAGACGGATTTTTTCCTCGTTCGTTTGCGTATGGCGGGGACGAGAGGCGGATCGGCGACGCGTCGAGAGTCTTCAATTAGTGATATCGAGGGTGACGTAATATTATCGGGAACGTATGAGAGACGAGAGTGGGAGTCGCGCGAGAAGGAAATTGTCGTAGGAGTATTAATAACGAAGGAATATTTCATTAGGAATGTAAATGTTGTGCGATGCGTCATTTTCGCGTTCGCTACGCGTGACTACAGTCTGACCGTAACGGCGATAGAAGATTAGTCTATCGTTTATTTCATCGTTCTTTATTTGTTTCTATTCTATTGCTATTCTATCGTTGTCATGCTTTTATTTTTTGTTCTCTATTATGTACTTTTAATGATATTGCGTATAAGATCTTTAGTGAAATCGTCATTCATTGGCGTAATCGCGCTAGGTATATTTGAACTCGTTCGACGAGAATAATCTCGCACAATAGAGAATAGAAATTAAGCGGTTGAAATTTCCGATTCGCGATTCGGTTCGATTCATCGCGTCGGTCTCCGCCCTCTCGCGACCGATGGCAACATCGATTGAGCGGTTCGCGCGTATTTCGGTCGGCGACGCGCAGTGTCGATTCGATTCCCGTCTCGCGCGATGACGCCCGCGCGCGGGATCGCCGTGATAGCTGTTATCGCGGCGACTCGCGATTCCGCCGACAGCGAGGATTCGGTTTTTGCAAACCTACGGATACCTGGACGGCGATAATGTGCAAACGATATCAGATAATGCGACGTTGGCTCTGAGACACGCGATTGCGATTTTCCAGGAGTATTATCGTATACCTGATGATGGCGTTCTTAACGAAGCTACATATAACAGATGCGTAAACCGCGATGCGGCGTCAAAGATATATCGAGTGACTTGGACAAGTCTCCGAAGAAATGGGCGAAGACGCATCTCGCTTGGAACTTTTACTCGCGAGCGAGAGCATTCTACGAATCACGTTCGAGGTCGTGTTCGAGATGTGGGCTGCGAATTCATCACTGACGTTCGAGCGCGAATCGATGAATCCCGATATCGTGATATCGTTTCGGAAGGGTTTTCACACGTGCATAGATCCTCGGCGAGGTAGCCGAATATGTCCGTCGTTGCTGGACGGACCAGGAAACGTGCTAGCTCACGCTTTTTTACCATCTTCCGAAGTGTCGGAGGTGCACGTGAATAACGCGGAGAAGTGGCACATTGAGCTGACCGCTAATTCTGACGATACGATTCATCTGCTACATACGCTTTGACGCACAAGATCGGTCACGCATTAGGATTACATCACAGTCCTCAGAAAAATGCGATAATGTACGCCTTTGTCCCCTCTAAGACCTTTTCCGTGCAATTGAGAGAGGTGGATTTTCTTGCCATTCAGAATTTATACGGTTTAAAAAATAAGAGCGAAATTGCGAGACCAGCGACGACGACCGTAGCGACGATCACGATCGCGACGCGCGACACGGAGGATTCCGCGAATTTGTACGCGTTGCGACGCGTCGACGCGGTGTTGGTGTTAGAAAATAAAATGTACGTGGCGTATCGACGCCACTTATGGTCGGTCGACTTAAATGGAAAATCTTACGGCAGGTCGTTGTTACTGACGGACTATCTGCGTATCGACGCCACTTATGGTCGGTCGACTTAAATGAAAAATCTTACGGCAGATCGTTGTTACTGACGGACTATCTGCGTTTTCTTCCCGATAATTTTACGCGTTTGGCGGGCGCATATCGACGACCCTCGGGCCAACTCGTATTGTTCATAGACGATACGATTTACATGATAGAATATCCGAGTTTCGAGCTAGTACCGGGTTGGCCGAGGAAAGTGAGGGATATGAATCTTTCTCCTAACGCGAAAATCAACACTGTAGTTAATACTAACGCGGGACGAACATTCGCGATTTATAACGACGAGATCGTGGCCGAGATCGACGACTGCTCGATGATAGCTGTCAGACGTAACTCGTTGCACGCGATATTTCCGGGGATTCCACCCGCTATAACGTCCGCCGTTCGATACATCGACAATAATCTGTACTTTCTTGTTAAACGACAGTTCTTCAAGTACAACGAATTTACCAGAAGTGAAACTATGGCCGGTAAATTCGACCCAGAGATTTTTGGTATCGTGTGTCCAAGGGACGGACTGTTAGAGCAATTGCGCGCTCTTTTGACAAAACTCGCTCAGATGAGGAACGTATTTTCGAGCGAGGGCGATTTAGAAGAGGAGAGGGAGGAGGAAGAAGCACGGAAGTTTTCGTATAGTGTATAGAGCGAAGGATATGAAATGTTTACGAACAATATCGCGCGATCTCTTCGATCATAAAGATGTACGATATCGAGCACTCGCAGGATTCCGAGACGCGCCGAGTCGACGAGAGTGACGACGCGAGGAGGAGGAAGAGGACGCTCGACAATGACAGGCCGATCGCGTCAAATCATAACAACGCCGGTTGTACGAATAATCCATTAGAATTCTAGAACGAAAATATCCCTTGACTAAGACGGGATACAAGTTTCTTAATGTATGTGTCACTCTTGAACGTTCCTCGCGCGTGAATATTATCCTGGGAGATAGTCATGGCAAGGAGGTCTCGATGTCGCCCGATACATGGAGGCAGCTTGTCGAGCAACGACACGTTCTC